GGCGAAGGCTAAGGTATTGTCTTGCTCCCACAGATGGGGGTCGCAAAATGGATTAGCCACGCCCCACAGAATCAGCCCCCAAGACACGACCCACATGTACAAAAATTGGTATGCATGTGTATCATGATCGGACAAGCAAAAGAGCCTCTCATACCCATAACCCAAACCCAACAGGAAGTCAGCCATTTTGAATTCTGTGGTCATTTTCGGCGATTTGCACATGTTGTATTTGAACGAACTCCTAGGGAATTTATCGGATCAACTTCAAATTTTATCAGCGCAATCTAAAAACATTCATGATTAAAAGTTGTGCTATTTACGACATTCGTTCGAACAGGGTGCCCGTGGCGTGGCGTGGCGTCCAATTTCGACGAGTCGCCATGAAAAAGGAAGTAGCCACAACTTCAGTGTACATGATCCAATCTCAATGAAACTTCACGTTTGATAAGAGTTTCGCCCTGAACTCGTCTATGTGATAATATTCAGATATAGTGATAGCGCCACTTACTGGCAACATGAAGTAAGCGATGCATGGCGATTTTGAGCTGATTTATGTGAAATTTTCATGTTGTGGTCTGCACATGTACGCCGGCACGTGGCACGGCCGCAGCACACCCCATGTTGTGTGGAGTGCGAGGGCCCGTTCATCGCTGCTTGCAGCTTTAATTTTATTTTGTAAAGCTGTTGCAGAGTTGTTTTTTGAATCTTTGTTGAATATTTCCTTTTCTAATACTCAACTTTTCTTTGTACTGTCACTGCCTGCATATGAATATTAAAAGACCTTTGTTGAAATAAATAAACTGAAAGAAAATAAACTGTTTGTAACATGTATTATGTCCTAGGTTTATTCTGCTGTTGTTGCTGCTAATATTTCTGTCATTATATATATGTTTGAATCATATACCCCCTTTCCACCAATGCAAACCTCGTGCTAGTTGTGGCCTGGTGCTACTGCTAGTTGGTTCAACTTAAGAACCTTATAAGAACCGGTTTGCTTTTCCACGGGCTTGAGAGCCACATGAAGCATTTTTTCTAGTTTTAAGCCCATTATAGTCTTTCAGTGGCTAAATTTTTATGCTAGAATTTTAGTCAAGAAGAAGCTTACCCCATTTCTTTTAGCTCAATGCAAAAGAAACCTGATTATATTTAAGAATATTTGGTATATTTCTAGAAGGGCTGTTCTTGCAGCGTGGGACCAGTTTTCCAGGCGAGAGTCAGTTCTTTGGCTGTCAGAACGTAAAGAACTGGTTTG